GGGGGGGGGAAAAAGAATGGAGGGCCAAAGGGATAAAAGGACACTGGACGGGGTGTTGTTGCCCTCGGCCCGCCTAGAAAAAGGGTTCTTGGCGTGGGAAGAAAAGTGGCACTGTTTACTGCTAGAAGAAAAGACAAGCCCCCCTTCCTGACGTGACGGCCGCTCCCGGAGCCGGCCGGTGCGCGCCTGACCCACGCCCCCTCTCGCACCCCTCCGACCCCCCCTGCGCGGCGCACCCGTCCGCTGTGCGCCGGCTCGAGCGCCTATTGCCAAATCGCGACGTTTGAGCGCAGCGCACGCATCCTCTGGGCGCCTGAGCGCGGCGGAATCTTGCCAGAATGTGGCCGCAGGAAGAGCCTCCGGCGGGCCTCCGGCGGACGCCTGGCGGCGTGGCGCTGCGCGCCGGCCTGCGGCCCAAAGCCCGAACGAGCGGTCAAGTTAACTTGACGCGCCGAATCCCTTGGTTGGCCCTCGCAGCTGTGATACAAAAGTGGGGACGCGCCTGGCGGCGCGCCCCCAAAAAGCGACACAGGGACGAACAAATCGTCCTGGCCCTGCGACCGCGCATCCCATTTTAAACCGTTTTTTTAGTATACACGGCTCTTACGTACATTCCCGTAGGAGGACTCTGCTGCCAGGGTTTGCGATGAGAAGCGACCGCCGTCAAAGAGCAGCGCCGACCGGGCGCTCGCGCCGCTCTCAAACGTGATTAGTGCGGTCGTGCCGTCAAGCAGGACCTTCTCGACGTGGCCGTGGAAGGCTGCGGCGGGCGCGGGAGGGCACGGTGGCTGCGGACTGTGGAGGGCAGCGGCTGCTAGCTTAGAATTACACGAGTGTCGTGTCGTGTTCTGGTCCCGCACCAAAGTAGGTGGAGAGGTCCTCCCGCGAGGCGTCCGCCGGCAGGTTCTCGACGAGGACTGTGCAGCTATCTGCCATCGCACAGGCAAAGGCGCGCCGAGATGTGTGTGTGTGTGTGTGTTCACTCACGCCGCGCCGAGAGCTATAAAAGGAACTAGTTTCACTCGGATTCACTCCTATGCACCTTCGGTGAGGGTGCATTGGCGCGTAAAAGGAGAGTCACGGAATCGCGCGCGCCTCCACCAGGAAGGGCTACGCAGTATCCCTGACATCCCAATGCGCAGTGGAGGAGGAGCGAGGGCAGGTGGCCCGGAAAGCCCAAACGACAAAGCGACGAAACAACCCGTCATGGCCCTGCGACCGCGCATCCCATTTTAAACCGCATGGTCAGCGCGCGCGCGTAAAATCGCGATTCGCGTGCCTTGTAATTCGCTCTGACTTCATCGAGAGGCCT